TTTTTTTTTTTTAAATTTTTTTTTTTTTTTTTTTTTTTTTTTTTTTTTTTTTTTTTTTTTTTTACAACAACCTTAATTCCCTTATGTCCACAATATGCTATATTTGATCAATTTGCTAGCATTGTCATAAATAAATCGTTATAATAAGAGAAGCACTATGATCAATTCTTATGAAATTTGTGGGTTAAAGGCAACAAAGGTAAAACATTTTTGTACAGCCATTTATTTGATTTGTCACCTTACAGGATCAAGTAATAATGGTTTTGAAACAGCCGAGAAAAAAATTTGAGAACCCACAACAAATCCCCTTTCAACCAATCTAGCTTTACCTATATACAATATATTTTAGTATAAGGCACACTGTTATCTTAACATTTGGTTTGCCCATATTGAAGCAATAATGCATAATGTCTACCAGCATAATCACCATCAATTTGAATATCATGATGTCAAGATGTCATGAATATCAAGAAAATGTTACTGATACAGGGCTTCGAGGACATGCCTTAGGATACAAAATGAAATATCCCTACAAAAAAGCACAATGTTGACACATTTTTATTTTTAGTCACCAACTTCACCTGTTGTAGAATATCAAAAAAAAAAAAAAAAAAAAAAAAAAACTCACATAGATGACACACTAATATTTTAACTCACCAACTTAACTTGCCATTAATGTTGTATGTGCGCTTCTGTCTGTTTGCTCTAGACACTAGTATACCAATTAGTGATGTACATGCATGAAGGCATTTTGAACATTTTATGGTTGGGTGGTGGTGGAAGACAAACAGAAATAGACCTACCCAAACGAAAATGCACCAGAATGTGGCAGAGTGAAACTGAACTCATTTTCCCCTTGTTGCCAATCGTCAGTCGAATCTATGGCTGTGACATAATACCGATGAGGAGCCATGTTCAAAAAGAAACCGCAGCCTAAAGTTAAAGATAAAGGAGAATTATCGAATGTGTTATTGTGACGTCAAATCTTAGGACTCTCCTTTGACCAAACTATACTCGGCAACGTCAAAATCATGTGAGTGATCCATGAGCATCAGTGAATTGTACTTACCAGAGAAACACTGCCAATCAGCAAAACTCGAAGAAGTAACTGAAAGGTTTCCTACATTAGCCTGCGTACAGGGTTTTTCACAAGGACCAAAATCTAATCTCCAGGCAGATCTCCAAGAACAGGTCACTTAAATCAAAGGAAAGGACTCAGATTAGTTATAAAGATATTAGTACCAACATTTGCAGAGTCGATTTTATTTCTAGAACTGTCTACGTCGAATGGGATGGTGTACCGAAAATGAGACATAGACACCAACTTATAACTTGGCAATAATACTTTTACCAGCTGAGGGAAGTTTAAGCGTTGTCAGAATGTATGGACACGCAATGGTTTAGAGAATAGCGGATAAGCAATTTATTTTCAATTTTCTGCTACTGGTTGACAGGACACACAAAACAACATTGCAAAACATGCATGGGGTGTTGTGGCTACTATGGTGTAGGCCAGCTGGCAGTGGTCAACAGGAACCTTAACACAGACCCATGCATCCAAGTACTGGAAAGGGATTTAAGGAAATCTGTTGACAATATCTTTGGGAACCAAGACTACTTATTGATGCTTCATTATGACAATGTTACTCCACGCACAGTCGATGCAACAGTAGGCTGTTCATATGCAAACCAGATCCGGATCCATATTGGTCGATCGGCTCCAGCCCTAGATGAGAACCCCATTAGGAATGTGTAGGATATCCTTGGAAATTATTTCTTAAACTATATTTGCATCGTATGTGGAATGCCATCACTGCGCAAAGGTAACATTGTTTTTGTCTCCACGAACAGACGCTTGCCCATCGTATCTTCAGTGATCATTACATGTTTAAAGAAACCCACAATTCATCAGGCCAAAATGAGTTTTATTAACAACTGACTAATTCCTGAGAACAAAAACGTCCAACTTACCAACTAAAGCGTTATCCAGAGCGGGCCTACAGCTGACTGTGGCATATCTGAAGTGCGACCCTGGAATGGTATAGCTATTTTTGTCTCCTCATTAACTCAAGCGAAAAGATAAGTAAAATGAAAACAAAATAACTGTCTCTTTAATTGAAAAATCCCTCTGGTAGAAGAATAATGTAAAGTTATTATACAACATTAGATATTATTCAGTAAATTAAAATCACGTAATTTTACAGCATAAATATAAAACAGAATTCCAAACAAATAGTGCACAACCATCTATTTTCATTTGTGCAGTTTCTTGTTTCATACTGGCAAGTTGTTATATCAAACTAATCTTGACGTTGAGATGGGTCGTACTGTATACAGTAACTGTTAATATTTTCCAGGCGATCATCTTGAACACTTTTATAACAGATTTGTACAATCCATGGACAAGCTTTTCACTTTTCGTTTGCTGATTTTGTAATAGAAATGGAAAATCATGGATGACGCTCTGATTTTTTTAATTAAACAATACACACAGACCGTTAGAGTGATTGAAAGCGTGTTATAAAATCAAATTGAATGTACAAATGTGGATATCTGTCACCAGAGGACCCAATATGTAGTTTTTCTAACATTAGATAATTGGCAGTCTCGAAACATGATTCTTTTGGCTTGTTCAATACTGATCATATATATATATATATATATATATATATATATATATATATATATATATATATATATATATATATATATATATATATATATATGACTAATTCCTGAGATATATATATATATACGTAAATATAAGTAGACCTATGCCTACAAAGCAAATGCTTTCCCTATGTTATTCACTGGTGGTGTAAAAAGCGAGATTAATTGGCCAATTCTCAATAATAACAATAACAAACAATAATTCCTCAACATTTTTTAAATTAATTTTTGTGGTTGGTGAAGTAAATAGTTTTGGTAAATTGTCTCGGAGGAGGCATAGATAACCTTTGCTATATCAAAGTTCTTTTTCCTTTGTTTGCCATGAATCATGGGTATACATACCGGTTACTGGACTGTCGAACAGAAACAATGCGATGATGTAGAATTGCAGTGACCACATCGTAGATGAAATCAATTCTGCAACACAAAAAAGAACAGAGTCGTAGTAATTCATAAATCTAGATTAACAGTTAGATTCGCTGTTAAAAAAAAAAATAATAATAATATTTGATGATTGAATGATGATTTTATTTATATGCAGCATATAAGAATGTTTAAATCATTTTAAAATATAGCCATAATTTTATAATCGCAGAGACCAAGGGGAATTAAGACAAAATTATTACTGTGGATTGGTCTGCGGTTTTACCACCTGTAAATTGATACCCGCATAAAATACAAATAAACCGTCAACTAGTATTGATTTTCAAGCTGTGTGTTTCCATTAGTCGCTGTTGTCATTGTAAAAATGACGGTCATCTTTCAGGTCAGGGTATACTATAGAAGAGTACAGTGTACGTGGTGTTTCTTATTGTCATAAAAGTTCATTTCTGATATTGCTTGGATGTAACGTCACAATCAATTGGTTTAAGATTGATTTTTTAAAGAGAAATTCGAATTGTTTTTGACAACACTTGTAAACAAATGCATGATTTCCCCATCCATTTATTAAACTTCATCATGGAAAAGTACATGTGTTTATATAAATGCGCACAATGTGACAGCAGCATATAAACATACATGTAGATTGTAGCATTTGAGTTATCCTATAACGTTTTCGAGAATCAAGAGGGTGTAAAAAGATATCCCAGCAGATATCCTGTTGAACTTACACAAGCGTGTCAGAGGCAGGCAAAAAATTACATTTTTAAGTCAACGGTTTTACTCCACTGCATTTTTACAAGCGCTTTGGCTTAACCAGTCAAGTTTGTACCCATAGAAATCCACAGGGTGACTAGGTAGTCTTCAATGTTTTCAATGGATGAACTAGCATGAGACAACTTTAGGAACATCCCCACGAAATTCCCCAGAAATTCTTTGATAATGTTTCACCCGACAGTTTCGATGATTAATTCTTAATTTTGGTTATCACGCTTATGCTAAAAAATTAAGCAACACCAAAGTTTTTTTCAAAGGATTCTTCTATTACGACAAATAGTGCAGTTGGTATTGAGATTATGCGTATTTTTTATATTTAATAAATACCTAAGTCAAGCTGAGTAGTCTGGTAATGAAATGGGCACCACAGTTTATTGCAATAAGATGTATGCTCACACAGCAAAACGAACGTGCTCATTAAAGTAGCTTATACGGAGGACCTGTTTAAGGACCCTAGCTCTCCAAATGAAATCTGGGATCGGCCAAAAGAGTATACTTTTTCAAAAGCAGTGGGAAATAACATATAAGCAGACACTTGGCTTCAACATTTTCGGTCTTTGTTAGAAATAGCTAAGCACCCTATTGATCCCGTGTTCAAAAATGAAGCTAAACAGCTTATTGATAATCTGGAAACATTTGAAAATGAAGACATTGATAATTTAGAAGATGAAAAATAAAAAAAAATAAAGAAATAATTGCTGCAATGAGGTAAATGAAAAATAATAAATCGGGAGGACCTGATGGCTTAGTGGTCGAGATGTTTAAACATAGTGACATGCTTTTCCCCTGTTTATGTTCATTATATAACCAAGTTATGCAAACTGGGGTCTTCCCGGCAAAATGGGGAGAGGCTATTATATGCCCAATCTATAAAGAAGGTAACAAAAAAGATCCAAATAATTACAGAGGTATTTCTCTATTAAACGTAGTGGAGAAAATATTAACAAAAGTCCTTAATGAAAGCTTAGTGAAATTGGCAGAAGATACAAGTAAGTTTTGTGAAGAACAAAGTGGGTTTAGGAAAGGCTATAGTATAATAGATAATTGCTTCACATTGTAAGCCCTAATACAGAAGCATCTTACAAAAACAGAGAGGAAGATGCTACTGCATTTTCATTGACTTTGCTAAAGCCTTTGATTGCGTTGACCATACATTATTAATATATGTTTTATTGAAAAACTAGGTTAATACAAAGATAGTCAAAGTCATCCAATCTATGTATAAACAATTAAAGACAAGTATACAGATGAAAGATGGTATATCTGATTATTTTGATTGTACCATAGGCACCAAACAAGGCTGCGTGTCAAGTCCATTTATGTTTTCTCTATTTCTTAATGAATTTGTTCATATGTTAAGAAATGATGAAAGCTGCAAAGTCATTTTTGGTAAATGAAGATGCACCTAGCATCTCACATTTTCTCTTTGCGGATGATGCAGTAGAGATAAGTGACACGGTTGGTAGCTTGCAAAAGCTTATGGTAAAATTAGAAAAATTCTGAAAAAAATATGGCATGATGATCAACGAAGATAAAACAAAAAATCATCGTATTCAGACGAGGTGGTTATTTAAATAAACATGAAAAATGGTTCCTAAATAATAAGGAGGTAGAAATTGTTAGCCACTATAAGTACTTAGGGCTGGTATTCTCTGCTTTCTAGTCCTGGAGCAAAGCTAAGAGTACCCTAGCACAGCAAGAGGAGAAAACCATGATTATCCTGATATAATAATAATAATAATAATAATAATAATAATAATAATAATAATAATAATAATAATAATAATTTATTGAGCACTAAAATGTTTCAGTACATTTTGCAGAGCTTGCTATAATATGTTGCGTACACTACATGAACATGGAAGGACTCACTGGGTGACTAAAGTAAAACAAATAATTTATATGTATGGTTTTGGTTATGCATGGATATCACATGTGTTTATATCGTGATATAAATACCTTTGTAAGCCAATTTTTACTAAACCTGAAGGACTGTGCTAGACAAAATTGGGTTGAAAGTATACAAAATAGTCCAAACTTTTTTTTTAAAACTATGCATTGTTTAAGAGTTTGTTAGAACCTAAATTGTTTATTTGATGTAAATATTATGAAACACAGAATAGCATTTTCAAGATTCAGAGCTTCAAATCATAGACTTGCAATAGAAACCAGTAGACATGAAAATTTACAAAAAATAGATAGGTTGTGTAAATATTGCTTAGAGAAAATTATTTACGAAATTAAAGATAAGAAGCATTTTACTAGTTTGTCCACGTTATGTGCCCTGAGTGTCAGAGTCACTGTGAATCGGTCTTCAACAGTGACTCTAAAGAACAGCAACCGTGTACAATTTCCGTCAATCAAAAAGAACTGCTCTGCAGAGAATCTGCAGTTAAATGTTATTAGACCAAATTGAACCGTAAAACAGATTTAATTCTGCTTTATTTAATTTTATTTGCTATTTTTAAGATGTAAAGTGAACAATAAATAAAGTTTCCAAAAGAAAAATATATATCCAATTTTTTTTTTTTTTTTTTTTTTTTTTATATACTTTTTGCTTACCAAAAAAATATTTGCTCCTGAAGATGATAAAAACAATACACGTGCTTGCCGTGTGCCAAGTTTGACAGCTACACCAGTGTATGCCTGATACCACTATAAGGGCCACGCAATGGCTAGACCAAAATCATTTTTTGAAGCAGAATGTTGCTTGTGTTGTGGTTCTGACTGCAAGATATTCTTAGTTTAAAACTTCAAACTCCGCATCAGCCACTTTACTTCTTGTCTCGTCTGCACGAGATAACGTCAGCGCAAGGCGGGAATGCAGCTCCAGGCGGCACATGGCTGTGACGTACAAAAATTGTGACTTCCAAATATGGAAGCGCCCCAGGAAGAATTTCCCCGTACAACGCCTCCAAGTTGACGGTATTCACTAGAGTCAGTTGATGTATTTGCTATGGGCCGGTGGCCTTTATCAATTGAGTAAAGCATAGGATCATAAAAAAATAAGATTTACGATTCAATCAATTAAGAATTGGTTTAAATAAAAAAAGACTGTAGATAACAGATGATTAATCTTCTATTATGGAGTCAATATCGGGTGTGTCCTCCCTGGTTCTGAACAACAGCTTCACGTCGTCTCCTGCAACTTGCAACCAAATTATGTAAATCTTGCATTGGGAGCCGGTCCCATTCTTCAATCACAGCCTGCTTTAGTTCTCTAATGTTTCTCACTGGAGGTTGTCTCTCATTTACTGCTCTGCCAATCATAAACCAAGCATGTTCTATTACATTGACATCTGGTGAATATGCCATCCAATCCATAACGGAGATGCCATGCTGTTGCAGCGCGTCTTCCATGACCCGTGTTTTGTGAATGGGCGCTTTGACCTGCACCAAAATGCTGGATTTGTTAGAATGTATGGTTGAATGCGCCTCAACAGAATTTCGTCCCCATATCGTTGACCGGTGAACCTCCCTTAAATGACGTACAGTGGCAATTTTTCTTCATATGAGAAACCGCCCCAGACCATGACGTATCCTCTACCACCCTGAACACCTTAACCTTGTCATTCAAATAGACGGACATTTGAATGCTTTTAATGGGTATGAAACGTTTATATTTATTATGCAAAACGACCAAATACAATTTTATACAGCAAGACAAGTACACACAGTGTTGTGGAAAAGAAGCAAAGCTAACAATAAAGTGTGTTTGAAAAGTTTTATATATAATGTCCTTTTTATGTGTTTAATTGATAAGTTGTACTTTTAAAAAAATATATGGATTTTAAATGTAGTACCACAGGTTCTAGTCTCTCATAACCCTTGGTAAGGTGGGTTTTATTTTATTTTATTTTATTAACAAGAGACGTTAATACAATTGTTTTTTTTTTATTATTAGTAGTAATAGTAGTAGTGGTATTATTCTAGGGATATCCAAAAACAGACAAAACCAATAACATAAGACAGCCAAAGTCCAACACACGTACTGAGTGACGACGACACAGCACTTCCCCACAAGCTGAATGAATTTTACGCTAGGTACGACATTGCCAACAACTCGGACTTAAGATCGGTTCCACTGAATGCACATCCACATGACCTACCGCCCTTTTCTGTTCAGAAATGGCAGGTTCAGTGTCATTTTATGACATTTAATTTGTAACCCGAATAACAGTCCAATTTCCGTTTTATATAAATTTTTATATTTATATATTAATGGCTGAATAAACTCTTATCTCTTCATCTTGGAGTTC